ATGTGACTCTAAAACCAAAATTTTAATTGTGGTGAACTTTGTCCAATTCCTGTATCCTTTGTATAGATACATGTTTTGTTTTCGTGTCCATATTCTCCCAGAATTTTTCTCATAAATGACTTTTGGAACCTTATTTACACACACACACACACACACACACACACACACACTACTATTATGATAGTGAGATGTTCATTGGTGCTATACAGTAAAGTTATATGAATTCTATTTTTGAAATAAAAAATGCAGATTTTACTATAAAAATAAAAATAATTTCTCCCCCTTGTAATAAAATTGGAAAATATATTCTACTGGAGAATCCAAATAGGCACTTAGTATTTTCATAAAATTTCATGTGAATACTCTATGTTATCTCTAAATAATACACAGTATCTGCAAACAGTATACTTAGAGGTAGTCTTCAAGTCAGCACTGTCCACATTCTATTTGGGTAATATTCTCCATAGCAGAAAACTGCAGGTTTGATTGAACTGCCATAACAAAAGGCCAGAGTTCAAAGGAACCAAGGTTACCCAAGGTATAAAGTTTAAAATGACAGGCAGGCAAAAAAGGGATGGTCACATTCAAAGGTACCTGTCTATTTAAGATTACAGGAACATCAGGAAGGTTTCCTGTCTTTCAAAGTTTAATCTAAAAAATTTGAAAAAAAATAAAAAACAAAAAATTTGAAAGTCCACCATTGGAGATTAGTTCCTTTGAACTAGGTTCTATTCAATCTTCACTTAATTTATTAATACAAAGAAGGGACAAGATATTTTCTTCATTTCAAACTGCAAATTGTAAAAACGAAAGGAGTCACTCATCTGAGTTACAAATACTTAACTTTCTCATTTCAGATTACTACTCCCATTCTTAACTCTCCATATTTCTTCCTATTAAGTCACCGGGCACCGATAATTCTATGTTTTACTGACCTTTCACTGATTATAAAGTAATTTAAGTGATTTTTTGAAAGCAAACTTAATTCCAGTTTCAGACTTTTAAATTAAAAGTGGCTCAGTTGGATACTGTCTCTTAAATACAGTAATATAAATATTAGTATCTTGGTTAAAATGAATTACTGACACTTTTAATACATGTTGCACAGTACATATTAATATAGAAAAATACATGTTATCAGCAGCATAATGTTGACCATGTTCTAATCCATTCCACCTGCTCAAATATTAGTGCGAATAATTATATATTTGTAATGCATCACTGCTGCCTAGCACAAATCTATGCTTTCTGAATAAATGACTTTCCTCTGAGGTTGTTTGCTATTTGGAGTATGATGTGATATACTCCTATTTAAATTGGCTTTGTATGGTGAGGCAGACTGCAACCCAGCCACTTAGAAAATGAGCAACTGTGTTTAATTACTTATCTTTTCCCCTAAAAAATAAATATTTAATCATAGTTTGCTGGTACCTACACCAAGTAATAGTGATAAGATTACAGTGACTAATTTAAAAATATAAATTTTGTTAAGCCCAGGGTTATCAGCTCCAACTCACCATTAAAATTCTAATTCTCTAATGTGTTAGGTTTCTCTCCCATATACACTTAAGAGGTTTCCCCACTAAGTTAGGAAAGAGAAATGATTGATCAATGGGAGGAGTAAAAGGAAAGTTAAATTTTTAAAAGACTTAATATATAATATTGATTATATAAAATGACTTATATTGATTATATAAAATGATTTTTAATATACTACTTTTTGCCCTACATTTTCACTCTAGTATTAGCCATTTAAAAAGTACCAATGTGCCAGCTTGGAGGCAGGAGGATCACGGTCCAAGGAATGCCAAAGCAAAAGTGCAAGATCCTACCTAAGAAACAAACTAAAAAAAAGCAAAAGGACTTGGGGCATGGCTCAAGTGGTAGAATTCTTGTCTGGCAAGCACAACGCCCTGAGTTTAATCACCTGTACTGCCAAAATCAAACAAACTGTCAGTGTACTAAATAGCTAACAGAACCAGCAAGCCTATGAGATGTAGTCTATTTTTGAATGTAGAAATATTGATTTCTTCACATTTTTGAAGGCAGAGTTGTCATTTTCTCCATTTTACAAAATACCTAGATTCTTTCTATTGTAAAAATTACTAAGCAGAAACAGTATCATGATTGTATAAAATAATACTCACTAAGGGGAGCTTTGTGATGATGGACAAACTTCCATTAAAATATTCAATTAACATTTTATAACCACTTAATTTAAAAAACTGAAAAAGTATGACTGATGACACACTGAACACATTAAAAAAATTCAATAGTAATTTGGTTACTGATCCTGTATTCCAACCTCATAATCTAAACCTCACATGATAGCCAAACATTATTCATAAAGAAAATTAGATTAAGCAAAACCAATGAGCCTATCAAACTAAAGAACCTAATGTTGTGTAAGAAAAATAATATACAGAATGTAAGAATGAGACATTATTCTCTAATATGTCAGGTTTCTCTCCCACATGCACTTGAAAAGTTGTCTCCCCACTAAATCTGGAAAGATTTAGGATTTAAATTTGAGCCTTCTACCTGCTGTAGACCTTTATAGGTCTACTTACATTATTGTGTCTTAGGTTTTTTCACCTGTCAAATGAAATAAATGGTACTCAAATACTAAGGTTGCTTTACAATCAAATAAGATAATACACACAAAGTACTTAGCATAGTACATGGGACTGAAGTCCAATAAATGTAGCTAAAATTGTCTTTATGTATTAAAACTTTTAAAAGGCTATTTTTACTGTAACATTATTTAGTTCAGCAATATAGTCTTTTCCAAAGTAAGTAGTGTATTCTATATTTCACATAATATACTAAAGTTTTAGAAAAATAATTTGCAGTGTATTTTTTAGAGTATATCTTCAATTTCTATACATTGCATAAATATTACACATAGCTCATGTGGAACTGAAGAATATTAAAGATTCTCCTTATTTAAATGTTGGTAAACGTTATTAGGCTTCTTTATCTCTACCAAAAATGTTACTATGTGTGCATAAAATTTTATTGATTGGTCATCTTTTCTGAATCAGAAATTTTGTGATGGCTACATACGAAAATACTTTAAAAATCAGAATAGGAAGAATACATATGGCTTCACCCAACACATTTTTTTCTTAGAAAAATACCATCTGTTTAGGCTAAATTGCTAACTTTCGTTATACAGTCAAGCACTTTCTCCTAAAAAAAAAAAAAACTGAGAAGACCCATGCTATGAAAAATAATGAATATCTTAAATTTTTAAATAAAAAAATTTACAAAATTCTGTATGGATGTCAAAATGTAAAAATAGTGAAATAAAAAAAACAATTGCAGGGAATCTGTTTATTGAACATTAATGTTAACACTTCTAAATTATGAATTTCATCACTGTCCTATCAATGGACATAATAGAAAATATTGCACAGAACTCAAGCATGGAAATAATAATTAACAAAATATCTAAGCAACAAGTATATGCTTTACATTTTAAAAATTAATCCAAACAAAATAATCTGAAGTCTTCTCTGGTTCATAAGTTTTAAAATGTTATCTCATGTTTTATTTGAGATTTTTTTCTTTTTTTCTTTTTTTTACAAATTGACACTGTACAAAGAGTTCAAATGGCCAGTAAAACTACTGCCTTAAAGCTGTTGGCTTTAAGTAACAGAGGTATTAATTTTGAATTCACATCAGAGCTTTCTAAAATGGCAATAGTACAGGCATATGTCTTTTTCTAGTATCCAAAACCTGTTCTAACTCACCCTTGGCTAAGGAATAAAAACCTGGAAAGCTTTCTAAAGCTGCCACAATGTCCTCAAATGCTTTGAAAAGTTGGCATAGTTCATTTTCCTTGCTTACCTGGATAACACTGGGCTAAACAAGAAAATTCAGTAACTTAAACAGTAGTTAGCTCTGGACCTGGAAGGTTTGGGAAAGTTGATGACCATTCAGAATCAAGTTCTCAGAAGAAAAGCAGTTTTCCAAAATTAGGCCAAAAAGCCTACATTAAAGAAAAAAGTGCCAAGATTGAATTGAATATTAAAGTTTATCTGGTTACTATATGACTATGAACAATACAATGGAAGCTGAAACACTACATATAATTTAGAATGCATTCTTGCAGAGCAAGTTTTTAGGGTTTATAGAGTAATGGCTCTTAAAAATTGTTACTTGATGTTTAAAAATTTTAAGTGTTTATTATGTCACCATATTAAGCCAATTCAATTAACCATATTCAAGTAGGAATAACTTCAGAAACTCCTTGAAAAAGGACAATAAAAGGATCTACAGATCTGAAATGCAGTCTTTGCAATGCCTGTCTGCAAACTTGGTATACATGTTATCTTTCAACTCCCAATTCCTCTGAAAATAGAAGACCACCTACATATTTAGCCATCCCATCTAATTCAAGTTCAGCATTAAGACAGAAATCTTAAAGGATTGCACTGTTGCTAAACATCATCAATATTTCTCATATGCAACATTTAGACTATACCTCACTCTTTAGTTTCCCTTATAATATTAAAAAATGAATAAATACAGTCCTTTAGTTAAGGTTCTCTACCTTATCTTAAGTGAAATATAAAATAAGGTAGTTTTATTAATTACTTGCTAGAATTGGCTTAAAATCTATTTACCAAGTAAGAAATAATAAATTTTAAGTTTTACCAAGAAAGCAGATGTATTCTGATCCACTCCTAATGTCTACATAAAACATTTCATCATTTTAGTTTATAACATTTTTCTTGGACTAGCACTGCTGTTGTATCTCAGAAAAAATTTCAATCAGCCAACTACAGAAATTATGCTCAATTGTTAACCTTTTGAGAGAGGCAAAAAATTCTTTAGGAAAACACAAAATACTTTGATTAACAATTATCAGTGCTGAAAAGGTCATTAAAAACTGATGAACAATAAATGTGGTTTTTCTGTATTTTACCTATTATTAATGCAAAACAGAATGGTAAAATTTCCAGATGGAATATGTTAAAGAATAAGAACCAGAACACTGGTAAAATCATTTGCCTTTTGACACCAACATTTTCCAGGAGAAAACAGTGACATAAAGTTTTCCAAAATTTGAAATTCATAAATTCAAGTATGAAATTAAAATTCAACAAGAACACAAAAAGCAAAATATAGCCAAGAAGTGTCCAAATTTCAAATAAAATCTCAAGGGTCAGTATGGCTGCTGTTTTCTTCCAAACAGTCATTTTTTTCCATAAAATGTTGGCTATATCATAAGGAATCTCCTGTGCTTTCTATCAACCGAGGTCTGCTGAAATACAATACATTTCCTTTGTAAATTCAACCTCAGCTGAAGTGTCGAGCAAGGCGGGCAGATCTATAGTCCCCACGAAGTTGTACGAAGGAGTGAAGTATGTTCTTGTCCAGATTAGCAAGTTGTTCTCCTGAGCAGACTTGCTTTAAATTATCTGGGGCAACTACCAGAAGATTGCAAAGTGCATGCAGAGTATCAAACAGATGTAATACCATTGGAATCTAAATTGAAAGGAGAAAAATAACATTGAAACAAAATCATTTTCCATTTTATAATTAGTTTTGCAAATTCGTCTTATAGACTGCCAAGTCAGGACTTACTAGTGTAGGAGGAGTTCAATGCATTAGAATTTTTTTGGAGCCTCTCTAATAATACTCAAAAATTTCAGTCGTTATAAAAACTCTATAATCTTTTGAAAAGATTCATATCTCAATTTTCTCAGTAATTTTTAATTTGGTAGAGTAGAACTAATTATCATTAATATAGCACCTTTCTTAAATAATTTAAACCTTAGGGAAAATTATTTCAGAGAGCTATATATGTGAAGAAAGAGTATTATTTTCAAGTTGTGTGACATGCACAGAATTAGTCAGGGATGTCAATAGATTTGGACTGTGCAACCGAAATATGACCTTGTCTAAAATAAAGCACAAAGAAAAAAGTGTGTTAATATTGAAAATATGAGTACAACAACACTTTTTCAGGTTCAGTGTTAAATCCATCTCATTACAATATCAAAAAAGTTATAAACGTTTTAAAAATCATAAGTCAATGAAGATTTTTAACAGTCTGACTTATGCTCCTTATTATATACACAACATTTATATTTGTGTATACATACCTTGAAGTCTTTGGCACACTTCCTATATTCAGCTACATCACAAATTGCTAACATGCCACCCATACAACTGTAGGAATATTGCTGAAGATGCTCATAAATAAGTCGATGAAAACGTACTCCAAGTTCCATCAAAACTGTATCCACATTTTTCCCATCCATAGAATTCTTAATCTTCTCAACTTGTTTTCTTACATAAGTGCAGACTTTTACACAGGCCTATAAAAGTTTTTCTACATTTATTATATAGGTATCAGCTTAAGTAAGAAGAAAATAGTTTCTCTAAGTACAACAGAAAAACATCTTAGGGCATAGTAAGATACACTGATGAAAATGTTAAAAGTTATTAACAGAACAGATAATTTTATTAGCAAATTAGTATACTCACATTAGTATACTGAATCAAAACATTGTTTTCATCTTCTGGCTTAAAATCTGTTTTCTTTTGTTCAGCGGCCAAGATATGCTTCATTTGTCCAATCATACAATTTAAAGTCCTAGAGAGTAAAGAACACAATATATTTGATCCATTTATCTGATATTTAACTTTATATTATTTATACTAAATTAAATTACTTAATTTCATATCACCATAAAACTATTTTGCTATTGTTAAACTTCATATTTTAGAATATATCAATTCTATGTTTTTTTGGTTTTGTGGGGCTGGGTTTGAACTCAAGGTTTCACACCTGTAAAGCAGGTGTTCTACCACTTGAGCCACACCTCTAGTCCATTTTGTTCTGGTTATTTTGGAGACAGGGTCTTTGTAAAGTATTTGCCCAAGCCAGCCTTGAAGCACAATCCTCCCAATCTCAGCTTTTCAAGTAGCTAGGATTATAGAGGTGAGCCACTGGTACCAGGCTCAATTCCAAGTCTTGATATCAAAGAGTTCATGGTTTTATTACCTTCCTTTCTTGAAAGATCTTAGAAACCTGTTACTAATTAATTTTCTTCACAACTAAGAATTGCCAAAGGCAAAATTCTATAGAGAAAATTTTTAGGAAGGTGGGAAGATAGAGGGCTTATAGAATGGCTATGACTTAGAAAAGCAGGTGAGAAAACCACTACTCTTATAGTCTAAGGACAATCAGGGAGATGGAAAAGATCCAGCTGAAAATGAGAGCATGAATTTGTAATGGTATCAATAATATCTAAGCTATAGAATATTCTCCAACAATAGGCAATCACCTAGTTTGGGGAATAAAATAAACTGCTTGATCCAGAATTTAGGGTTTATGAGATAGTTGCAGTTGAAGGAAATGGATTTTTGGGTAAACACAAGACAATTCAAGAGCTGGATCAAGTACTTTAAGCACAATAATGAATAAGGTCAAGTCAGGAAAAGGTTAATAGACTGAGAAAAAATAAGAGATTAAAGGGAAGAGGTCCTGCTGAAGTCAGAAAATATGTGGAAAATAAGAAGTTGGGGGGGACTGGTGGAACAGCTCAATACACCTGCCTAGCAATTGTGAGGCCAAGTTCAAACCCCAGTATCACAAGAAAGAAAACAAAAACCCCACAAAACCTTAAATAGCAGCTGGGGATGTAGCCCCGTGTAGTTACATAGCTGTTTGCCTAGCATGTGTAGGGCCCTGGGTATGATCCCCAGCAACATAAAATAAATAAATAAATAAATAAATAAAATTAAAAACTTTAAATAATTTAAAAAAAACCTATCACTTAAGAAGTTAGAAATACAAGAGGATGTATGACTAGCACATTCTGGTTCAAGGTTTTTGTTACCAATAATCAGTAACCAAAAAAACCAATGGTTGGTTTTTGTTACACTAGTTAAGTGTAGATGACCAATAAAGAGAATAACCTAACTTAAAGTTGAAAGAAAAAATGTGAGACAGACACCTAAATCCTCAATAAATATAGGACACTGATATAAAAGACTGAGAGGATGACAGCAACAAGAAAGGAAAGATGTGAGCTTCAAAAGCAAAGGTTTTCTGGCCTAATGGATTGATACTGGATTGAAAATATCAGCAGGGATGCAAAAAACTGAGCTGATACTCAAGGTCACATTAAAGAGAACTTTATAGACCACTGTACTTTTAATACAGTAACTAATGCAAAGACCTTGAGATTAAGGCTTACATGGAAAGATGAAAAAAAGTATTAATAGGGAAATACGTATTTCATATAACTTTGAAAGCTTAACATATATATCTAGTCTTCCCACTGCCCCAAAATTCTTTCAGGTATCCTGAGGCAAGGCAAGAAGAAACAAATTAGTGTGAGGGACTTAGGTTCTAAAAATATATAATTCTTAGATGTAATGTTCATAACATGTGTAATGTATATATATACATTATAATGACATGAAATGTTCTATTTATATGTGATCCCATGTGGTCCTAACTAAAATCAAAAGATTATATACCAACAAACTGTATAACCAGAAGAAATGTATAAACTCCTAGAAACATACAAACTACTAAAACTGACTGATGAGGAAATTAATAATAAGATGGGAGATTAAATTACTACTCAAAAACCTCTCAGCAAAGAAAAGATAGCTTAAATTTTCTTAATTCTAACTGCCAAGTGCTACCAAACATTCATGGAAGAATTAACACCAATTCTTCTCAACTCTTTTCAAAAAATGAAACAGAGGAACACTTGCAAATTTATTTTACAAAGCCATCATTACCGTGATACTGAGGCTAAACAAGAACACTACAAGGAAAGAAAATAAAATGCAAGTATCCCTGGTGGGCTTAGATGTAAACATAATTTAAAAATATCAAGTGAAACTAAAAATGTTAACAATGAACAAGAAAAAAATAATAGAAAGCTGAATTCAACAGCACATAAAAAGGATTATAAAACCATGATCAAGCAGGATCTGTTCCTGAATGCACATTATGATTCATCATATGCAAATCAATAAATATGATACACCAACTTAACAGAATGAAGGATAAAAATCATATGATCATCTGTTCCTGGTAAAAATTCTTAACAAATCAGGTATAGAAGGAATACACCTCAACTTAATACAGGCCATACATGACAAGCCCATGGCTAACACCAATCAACTGTGAAAAGCTTAAAGCCTTTCCTCTAAGATCAGAAACAAGACAAGGATGCCCTGTTTCATCACTTCTTTTCAAAACTGTATTGGAAGTCCCAGCCAGAGCAATTAGACAAGAAACTGAAAAGGCATCTAAGCTGGCAAGGGATGTTCCTGTATAGAAAACTCTAAATACCCTATCAAAAAATTGTTAGAATAAATGAATTCAGAAAAGTTGTAAGATGCAAAATTAATATGCAAAAATCAGTTGCATTTCAATACACTAACAATGAATTATCCAAAAAAGAAATTACAATCACATTTATAACAGAATCAAAAAGAATAAGATGCTTTAGGAATCCGTCAAGGAGATAAATGACTTCTACACTGAAAGCTAGAAAACACTGCTAAAAATAATGAAAGGAAAAGATAAATAAATGAAAACACATCCCATGTTCATGGATAGGAAGAACTAATACTACAATGTTCATACTGTCCAAAGTTAGATACTCAATGTATTCCCTATCAAAATTTTGATGGCATTTTTCACAGAAGTAGAAAAAACAATCTAAAAATTCATATGGAAATACAAAAGATTCTAAATAGTCAAAGCAATCTTGAGCAAGAACAAAACTGGAAGCATCATACTTCCTGACTTCAAAATATAAAGCTATAGTAATTAAAACAGTATGGTATTGGCATGAAAACAGATATACAGACCAATGGAACAGAACCCAAAGCCCAGAAATAAATCTATGCATTTATGATCCACTATTTTTTTGACAAGGGTGCCAAAGACATACAAGAGAAAAAGGACAGGTTTTTCGGTTAAAACAGTGCTGTGAAAATTGGTTGCTCACAAACAGAAGAATAAAATTGAACTGTTATCTTACACCATATACACAAAACCAACTCAAAATGGTTTAAAGATTTGAACATTAGTTTTTAATATATAAAACTACTACAAGATATCATAGAGAAAAGCTTCTTGACATAGGTCCTATCAATGTTTTTTTGGATATGACTCCAGAAGCACCAGCAACAAAAGCAAAAATACACAACCAAGAGTGCATCAAACTAAAAAGTTTCTGCTTAGTAAAGGAAATAACAGGTGAAGAGAAAACTTACAGAATAGGAGAAAACACATACAAAGCATACATCTTCCAAGTGGTCAGTGGGAAGACAATAAGCTACATGAAATAAGCTAGACACAGAAAGACAAATACTACATGATCTCATTCACATGTGGAATCTGAAAGAGTCAGGCTCATAAAAGCACAGGGTAGAATGATGGTTGGCAAGGGCCAGGGAGGCGGTGGAAGGAGGAATACAGAGTTAGTTAATGGGTACAAAATTTCAGTTATGCACATGAATAAGTTCTGAAGATCTAATGTACAGCATGGGGACTACGATTAAGAATACTGTATTAATACAAATTTGTTGAGGGAGTAGATCTTATGTGTTCTCACCACAAGAAAACAAATGGTAGCTATGTTTGGTGATGGAAACGTTTAACTTTATAGTGGTAATCATTTCACAAAGTATATATCAAAACATCAAGTTGTATACTTTAAATATACACAACTTTTATTTTTCAAGTTTACCTCAATAAAACTGGAAAAACAAAACAAAGGGAGATACCAGTTTTTACAGTTATTTTAAACCTATTCTTCTGAATAATTAACTGTATAACCTCCTTATTTTTTTCAGGTTTGGTCTTCTGTTTTTTTTTTCTTCTCCCTTATCACATACTGTGGGGCAGTTCTCAATTTTAGCGTGCTGATCAACTTGGAGGTTAATTATAAGTAATTTCTTATTACTAATAAAGCAAAAATTATTTATACTTCCATAAACTAGATTCAAGGTTATCTTCTAAACAGTACTGTCAAAAAATTGCCTTTAAATATGCTTTCTTAAATAGAAAAGAAAGTGCAATTATAACAAATAAAACAACAGTACTGTGGGCTTTAGAGTGAAGTGTTCTAAGTCTACCACCATTAACTGTTTGATCTTCAGCAAATTAATTTCTTTAAATCTCCATTTCCTCATCTGTAAAATGGAAACAGCAATTCCTATCTAACGCACGAAGTAATGCAGGTAAACGTCCTTGCATTGTGCCTGGTACCTAGCAAATACTTGATAACTGGTAACTACGATGATCATCAATAGTTACAAGACCACCACCATCTCACCACCATTGCTTTATACTATGAGCAGGACATTATCTTCAATAAATATTACTGAAGATTTTGAATTCACTTAACAGAAGTTACTTTAGAGAATTAGTATTTTTATTTAAAACATTTCACATATAAATCTGAAAGACTAAATTAAAACATAATCCTTTATGTGACACACCATTTTTAGGGAGTTTGTAGCTTGTGAATGTATAGTGTGGAGGAGAGAGGTTTACAAAAAAAGATTTCTATCATCTAAACATACTTTCAAAGATAAAACTTGGAGATTCAATTAAAAAAAATTCTAATAAGGATGTTATCAATAAGTAACAGTAACATCGATTATAGCAAGATGGTGAAAGTTTTATTCTCTAAAAACTATTTTCATGATGCTATGATAGTGTTTCTACAATTTAAAATAATGCAACAGAAAAAAACAGTAACTTACCGATCAATGCCAGTATCCAATTTCATCTCCATTTGTTCAATTATTTCTTTTTTCTTCTGAAGGCATTCAGACAACTTAGGAGAAGAGCTATTGTATATTTAAAGGGAAAAATCACATTAATAGCCTAATTTGTAAAAGCTTTGTATGCATATTATATGTTTATAAATACACACAAACACATGTTACTTTAATTGGCTTATAGAAATACAAAGTAATTTATATAAATATGCCCAATTTATTCACACTAGGAACAATTAGCCCATTAAAAGGAAAGGAAAAAGGAAGATTTTAGCAGGGAGGGCAGTACAGAGGATTGAACCCAGGGTCTTGTACATGCTAAGCAGGCACTCTACCTCGTGAGCTATACCCAAAGACCCTTGGTTTTTATTTTGTTTTGAGATAGGGTCTAACTTTCCCTGGGCTAGCCTAGAACTAGTGATCCTCCTGCCTCCACCTTTCCAGTAAACTGGGATTACAGGTGTGTACATCATACATAGCTGAAAGAAAAAGATTTAAATTTGTTATTCTGATCTCTGAGGAGACACCCATTAAGAATATAAACATGTGGTTTTGAAATTTTGAACTATTACTTTTCTTTATAACTAAATATCTGGTACTATTATACCAGAAAAGTCATAAGGTATTTACTCTAAATAGTAAATCATACTAATAAAAATGTGGAAGGTTAACAGTCAATACAGTTATAGTTAGCTTTCCTACATTAAAAAAAGAAACTCAAAACCTGGCAATCAGATTTGCCTTCTGAATGCTACCAAAATGTCCCAAATACCCAAAATATTAAGGAATAAGTAACCTTAAGAACTGTGTGAATTCTCTACTACATTGCTTAACAGCTCTTTAAAAAGCAGAATAAGAAGTAAATTTCCTAAACCAGGCATGGTGGCACATGCCTATAATTTCAGCACTTGAGAGGTGGAAGCAGGAGTATACCTTTGAAATTGTTTCTGGACTAATCTTGGCATAATGATGTTGACAATAAACTGTCAGATTTTATCTTTTATATGACTGTTTTTCCTCAACAGTAGTGCTAAAGGAGTAATTCTGTAAAGTATGTTCACATATACACTACCTTAATTCTCACACGCTTTCGAAATTCATATAAATTGATATGAAAATATAAATCAACTCTAATGCCTCATCAAAATATCCTATTAGTCTCTTAAAAATTTTTGTATGCTTTATATTCTAGTAAGTAACTTGGCTCTGTTGGATCTTTTGAAGGATGTAAATTTGCTGAGATGCATTAAGCTAGAGGGTCTCTTTCACATCAGATTTCAATATTACATTTATGAGTTAAGTTTTTCAAATACACCAAAATTAATAGCACAATAGGAAGAGAAAACAGGAATGCAAGAAAGAAAAAGGACTTTTTATTTCACATCACCTGTCCTGTTTGTTGTTTTCATATCATGTATTATTTTTAAATTTTAAGAAAAATAATATTCATTGACTATCAATGAAAGATGATGTGACTAACCTTATTAGTGGCATAAGGTGATCATTAAACTGCTTGTCAAAAAGATGAAAAATAGTATTGGCCTGTTGCACAACATCCAAAAAATAGAGATTTGCATTTCTAGAATCTGAAGAAGGAATTCCTAAAATTGGAAAGCAAAGACAAATGAAAATCAACCTTGAAGAAATTCATCTTAGGCAAAAGAAAAAGAATGTGGTTTTACATATACCACATGAAGAAAAGTAACTGCTATTTCAATAAATCAGCAATGAATTTGCAGAGAAGAAAACAAAGCTTGTTAATAGCTTAATAAAATGCATCCAAAATTATTTTTATGCCCAAATTTTCACATCTTCATGATTTGTTTAGATAAACCAAAAAATTAATCAATTAACAAACCATCCTGGCTTCTACCCTCTCCTTCCCTTTCTTACTCTCTAGTGCCCAAAGATTTACATGTGCCATGAATACACTCTGATCATTTTTCTTACAACCAGGTTATCTCTAACAACAGTTAAAATAGTTTTCTTACTGGTTTTCTAGTTCAGATCTCTTTATCTTCTGTTCTATATATTGTGTTATAGTAATGTGCCTAACTTATGCATTCCACTCACCATGTTCTCTACTTTTTTCTCCAAAATACTCAAAATCTTACTAAGAGTAAATTCCTGACAATTCTGTATGGTAATCAAGAATTCCCCATTCTGACACCAGAAAGTCAGTTGACCTCTCTGGATTTCTTTTTTGTAAAGAATAACAGATGAACTCAAAAGTCCCTTTCAGATCTAGATGTTTAAGCTTCTAGTCAAAATTAAAAGATACAAGACCAAGAAAAATATCCAGGGCTAATAATATATAATCTTAGTACCTAGAATTCTTTATAGGGTGATTTTTTTTCAGTTTTAAAAATGGAAAACAAAGGTGTTTTAAGACAAAATCAATTTGTAAGAAAATTAAAGGCTCTTGGGGCTAAGGTGCACATGGCTCAAGTGGTAGAGCACCGGCCTAGCAAGAAAATTAAAGGCTCCAACACAAACTTACAAGAGAAAAAAAAACAATACATACGTAGAAAATAGTAATCCTTTTTATCATAAGAAATAAAAATTAAGACAACATTGATATATGTTTTAAAGCACTGAATTATTAGTTTTGAAGGGATGTCTATACACTAATGTACAGATAAACTAGTTACACACAGAGGACAGTAGCAGTATAAATTGTAGGAAAAAAACCTTTCAGAAAAAAAGTTTACATCAAAATGAAAAAATAAAGAATTGTGCATAAAAATTTTAAAATGTGTACAGAAAACACTTTGATTTGGTATTTTCACTTTGGGGATTTTTTTTTCCCAAAGAAAATTCAAAATAAGGAATATTTAACCTCTACCATGTTAAGTGCAGCATTACTTATAACTAAAGCCCTGAAAAGATGCAAGGTATCTAGCCACAGGGAATGGATGCCTTGTATGTGCTTGACAGAATTTATACAATCTTAGAAATAACAGCAGTGAGTACTAACTAGCTGCATGGAAAACACTTACAAATATAAGGACTCTTTCCATCCTATATAGAAAACTTCCTAAGGCATTCTAGGTAGAGAATATTGCCATTAAAACAGAGATGGTAGGTTTCCATACTAGCTAAACAATAGATCCTTCAGACCAAAAGACTCAAATTTACATTTATGTTTTTATTCATGAGTTTTTGGTAGTAGGGTTTAAACTCAGGGCCTCATGCTTGCTAGGCAGGCACTCTACCACTGGAGCCACTCTGTCAGTCATTTTTTTGTGTTAGGTATTTCTGAGATAAGAGTCTCATGAACTATTTTCCCAGGCTGGCTTTGAACTGCAGTCCTCCTGATCACTGTCTCCCAAGTGGCTAGGAATACAGAGCCACTGGCACCTGCCTTCATGATCTTTCTTAATCATCACATCTTTGAAGAACTGTGTTATTATTCCACTACAAATTACCACATTAAGTCATTTACAAATGGCAAAAGTTAAATTCTTGATGTCAAGTGTCTACTGTAATTAAGTTAAAAATACTTATCTTGTTGCTTATGAGAACAACAATGTGAAAAATGGATAAGCCAGTTAAACCAAAGTAACTGATTTATGGCTAATTTTGGTTCATGATCAGAAACTTCACAGAATGATGTTTTACATAGCCAATAAAGATTTTTCCAAGCATCCATGTGCTTTCTACATACTAGAATATAACACTGAATAAAACAAATTAAGATTCCTACCCATAAGCGCTTACATGGTGTTGTCTCTATGTAGAATACTCCAAATAATTGGTTTATCATTTCATTCAGCTCTGTGATTCTATGTCTTCTCAGTGGGATTCTCTGACTGCCCTTTAAAAAAAAGCTTTTTGCTCATGAATCATCCCCCTTATCTCCCATTACTATTCTTTGTCCCTTATCTAGTTTTATTTTTCTTTACTGTATTTCCTAATCATTCCTTTCTACAAAAATGTAAATTCCATGGGTTCAGGAATAGGCATGTAATAAATATACATTAAATAAATGAATTCTGGTGAATGGAGGTAGACATTAAGAAATTGAAAACTTCACTGTTATAAATTTTATTTAAAGAAGTTATCTCAATAAGATCATGAGTAACTGGACTGAACAGGAGCACTACTTCAACTAGGATGATCAGCAAGGCCTCTCTAAGAAGGTGACATCTTAGTTGAGATCTGAAGGTTAAAAAGTCAACTGTGAGATGAGATAAGGGAAAAGGTTTGGCAGGAGGGGAAATACCAAGTACAAAGAGCCTAAGTCAGGAAAAGAATGGAGACCTGACTGAGTAGGGCAATGTGTAGAAGTGCAGTGTGAGATGAAGATGAATACATAAAAAGCAGATCAAAAATCATGCTGTTATTATTTTCCCTCTGAGGGAAATAAACCACTAAAGGGTCTTAAACAAGAAAATGATAATAAAACTGGCTACTACCTGAAGTTAATAACTTGGAAAGGCAAGAATGGGCACAGGGGAACCAGTTATGACATGAGAGTGTTTAAAGTAGGGTGGCATCAGTAGAGACAGAGAAAAATAAATAAACTTGAGTTATATTTGCAAGTACACTGACAAGGTTTGCTGATGAACTGGCCATCAGTGTTGGTGAAAGGAAGAATTAAGGCAACACCTGGGCTTGGGACTTCAGCAACTGGTAAAGAGAAGTGTCTTTTAAAGACATAGGGAAAGGAACAAGTTTTAGAGGAAGATAGTAGGTTTCATTTTTGGTATGTTAAATTTGAGATAGATACTGAACAGGTAACAAGGTCAAGTGGGCAACTAGATTAATGAGAATGGAACTCAGGGAAGAAGTCATAATGACACAAATTTTAATATACACCTATTCCTTTCCAGACTCTGCAATACACTATAATGACTTACGTAAATTATTATCTTACTTTACTGCATGTAAACAATGAAAGAACCATGCCTTCGTATGGCTTTCAGCATCTGGCAAATCCTTGCATTTTTGAAACTCAAAACTCATTGCATTAAACAGAACTTAAAATAGAGATGATTATATATAAAATGATATCATACATAGTTTAACCAAGCAGGGTCATAGAGATTTAACAGAAAGTGTGATATAAGTATACTTACCAGCTAGTCCTGTTTCCAAAGCATAATCAATATGCTCAATACATAAAAATTCCACAAGAATGGTAAAAATTCTAAAGGCATTCCTTGGTAAATCAGAAGGATCAGAAAGCTTTAAAAACAAAAACCAAACAATATCACTCCTCAAGTCTACCTTTTAAAAAAGCCAACTTTTTTTAAAAAGCAATCAATTTTTTATAAAACATAGTATTTCAGGTATCAAAATAACTTACACTCCACCTCCCCTTGCCCACACACAATTACAATGCCCCATGTTGGTCTATAACTGTCCTAATTAGAGCAATGTTTTTCAAACTTAGATTGCAATCCATTAGTGTGATCCAGCTATATCTTCAGGAAACACATCACACACACATGCACATATCTATACATATACACACATATGATGTGTATACTTTGCTACAATGTAAAGTGAATTTCTTATGGTGTGTTGTAGTCAAGAGTCTTCAGAGCCACTAACTGAACAAGGCTATTCCAGTAAAACTTTTTCTAAAAAAAAAAAAAAAAAAAAAAAAGGATTTTTATTTTATTGTGGAGTCAAGATGAGACACCAATTATAGATATAGTATAAAATATAAAATATGGTAAGCTCGAATCCTAACTTCACCATTTCCTAGTTCAGGAACCCTTTAAGATATTCCTTAACTTCACCGATCCTCAATTTATTTGTAAGGTGGTATAACATTAACAGTACTTACTGTCTAGTCTTAAGGTTAGAATGATATGAAAAATGGAAAGTATAACAGAATTTGACACATCTTAAGCTCATGATTTTCATTTTGATGCTACTGCTGCTGATAAACTATTTAGTAAGAGAATTCTAAGTAGTTACACTGAGAAAATTAAATCCTTCTTAAAATGTTAGAAAATCACTCTTGCCTTCTTTTAGCTGCTTTCTACATTATAAATTGATTTCTGCCTTTCTCAAATCTATTTGTAGTCTCCATTCATGTTCTTCTCAGAGTAATGCTTATTACAGGCTGAAATCCCTTATCTAAAATGCTTGGGACTAGAACTCTTTGGGATTTTTAATTTTTTCAGATTTTGGAATATTTACATATATGTAATGAGATGACTTGGGTTGGGATTCAAGTCTAAAGAAAAAATTCATTTATGTTTCATATATACCTTTTACTTATAGTGCAAAGGCAACTTTATACAATTTTTTTTTTTTTTTAGTGTGCCTGCATTTTGACTATGACCCATCCTACAGGGCAAGTGTGGAGTTTTCAACTGTTGGATCACATTGGTAATCAAAAAAGTTTTGGATTTTGTAGCACAAAAGATTCTGGATTTTCAGGTTAGGGATGCTCAACCCTAATGTAATAACATAGCCCTAACATATAAAATTGGGAGTTTAAGAGACATTCTATAACCCACTTAAAATCCCCACTGATTACAAATACTGATTTGGTATTAGATCTGAATAACTACCTTAACCTTACCCCCATGTTCACTCTCTTCCTCGTCCATCATGAGCAATAAGGACTAAATTCAATTTCTCATCCTCGTCCTGTTTACATAAAAAAAATCTATGCATAATAGATGAATCAAACAGAAAACTGGTGAAGACACAGAAGACTTGAACAATACAATCTATGGGACTCGACAGTTGTAGAATATTCCATCCAACAACAGGACACACATTCTTCCCAAGTACAAAAAAAAAATTTACTGAGATGGACCATATTCTGGGTTTTTAAGACATCTCAATAAATTTAAAAAGGATTCACATAATACACAATATGTCTTCTGACCACAATGGAATGAAGTGTGAAATCAGTAACAGAAAGACATTCCCAAATACTTGGCAACTAATCAACATACTACTAAATCACCTTTGCACCAAAAAAAATCAGAGAAATCATAAATAAATGCTAAAAATAAGTTACAATATCCCCAAATTATTAGAATACAGCTAAAGCAGCACAGAGAGGGAAATTTATAACTAAATGCCTACATTGGGAAAGGTTTCAAATCAATAATCTCAGCTTCCACCTCAAAAAACTAGAAAACAAAGGGCAAATGACACCCAACTAAGCTGAAGAAAATAATAAAGAGTAGAAATCAATGAAATACAAAATGGAAAAATAGAAAAAAAATGAGTGGCTCTTGGGGAAAAAAGCAATAAGCTAATTTACTTCTAGAAAGATTCATCAGGAAAATAATGAAATAAATTACTGATATCAGAAATGAGAAGGTGACATTACTATAATTCCCACAAATTCTAAAAGGAAAGTAAGAAAATAGCATGAATGACTTTATTCCAATAAATTCAACAACTTTTGTGAAATATAAAATTCTTTACAGACACAAACTACCTAAGCTAACTTAAACTAAGTAAATTACCTGAATAGCTCTTTATATGGTAAATAGTTGAATCTGTGGTTAAAACTGCTCAAAAGGGGGCTGGAGGCATGGCTCAAGTGGCAGAGCGCCTACCTAGCAAGCACAAAACCTTAAGTTCAAACCCCAGCATCACCAAAAAAAACAAAAACAACAACCAAAAAATTCCTCACAAAGGAAACTGCAGGACCCAAATGAGTTCATTAGTGAATTATACCAAATGTTTAAGAAAGAATACCAGTTTAACAGAAACTTTTCCAGAAAAATGAAAACAGACAGGGGAGATAAAAATACTTCCCACTCAGCCTATGAGACCCACATTACTGATACCAAAGCAAGACAAAAAAAAACCCAAAAACATAATAAACAAAGAAAACATAAGCCAATATCTCTTATGAATACTGATATAAAAATGATTTAAAATTTTTCACAAACCCAATAGGATAATAGCCAACTGATGACCAGCTGGGGCTTATCAAAGGAATACAAGGCTAACATTCAAAAAAAAAAAAAAATCAATCAATATGATTCGTCATATAAATAGAATAAAAAGAAAACGTTTGCCAAGATCCAACACCTAATTTTTTTCAACACCTAATCTTTATAAAGATAATTTAAGAAGCTAGAATAAAAGAATTTCTTCAATATGAAAGAAGAGTGTTTATGAAAACCTATAGTTAGCAGCACATTTAATGAGAGGCTAACTGCTTTACTCTAAAGACCAGAAATAATAGAAGTTATTTACACATCCTGTTTTCATTCATCACTGAACTCAAGGTCTGGCAAGGACAATAAGGCAAAAGAGCAAAATAAAAGGCATCTATATTGAAAAAAATAAGTAAAACTGTCATTCTAGACAGACAACATGATAGTCTATAGAAAATATGGTGCAATCTACCAAAAAAATGCTATTAGAATTAAAAAGTAAGTTTAGTTAGGCTGCAGGGTACTTAAGATGAACAAATAAAAATCCACTGCATTCCTTTATACTAACAACTAAAACTATAAATTAAATATAAATTTAAAAACTACCTTTTACATATTAACATAAAAAAATCCATCCTTCCTAAACAGAACTATACATTCAATGTCACCCCAATCAAAATTTTGGACTTTTTTCCCTAGAAACTGACGAGTGCTATGAGACTTATATAAAATATAAAATGAATAATGTAGAAATGTTAAGAGGACTCACACTACCTGTTTCAAGACCCACTATAAAGTTACAACAATTAAAATGGCATAAATATTGGCATAAAGACAAATGGACAAAACCAGAAGCAGACCACAAATAAGTGGTCAGACGATTTTTGACAAAGGTTCAAAAGCATTTCAGAAAGAATAGTCTTTTCAATAAATGATGGTGAAACAATGGGAGACTTAATTGTAAAAACAATGAACTTCAATCCATTTATTATAATATATGCAAGTTAACTAAGAACTGATAACAGACGTAAATATAAAATCTCAAATCATAAAATCACTAGAAGAGAATCCAGAAGGTAATCTGTGATCTTCATTTAAAGATTTACATACAATATAGAAAATGTTATCCATAAAATTGATAAATTGCAATTCACCAAAATTAAGACCTTCCATCTTTTGGAATATTTGTTAAAAAAAAATTAGACAAAGCACTCAAGACTGAACAGAAATTGCAAATCACAACTTCTAAACAAACTGTAACCAGAATACAAAACTCTCAAAAAAAATTTAAAGACAACCTGATTTTAAAATGCCTGAGAGGTGACCAAGCACTTTACTAAAGAATATATGCGGATGTCAAATACACACACGAAAAGATGCTCAACATTAAAGCATCGTATTTTTAGGAAAACGAAAGCTAACACCAGAAGGTATCACTACATACTATTATTAGTTTGGCAGTTTTCTAAAAAGAAATTCTATGATTATGCCATACCACTACTAAGTATATTTGAGATTTATTCATGTTGGTACATGTAATTCTAGTTTACTCACTTAAATTGTAGTAGCTTTGAGACTACGAACAATGCTAGTTTTTCAATTTCTCCTTTTTATTGAGTTTACTTCTAATTTTTTGTTTGTCACAACAAACAATGCTGTTAAAATAACAGACTTATCACACCCACATATGAGGTTTTCTAAGGAACTGACAAATTACTCTTCAAAGTAACTAACAATTTTTACTCTCACTGTCAGTGTGTGAGAACTCCTATTGTCCCCTTCTGTTAACCAACATATGGTATTGGGTTTTGTCACACTTAATTTATGCCAACCTAATGAAAATTAGATGCTTATTTTAAGTTTTATTTCCTTTTATAATATTGAATATCATATTGATAATTCACACTTAGGGTAAATTGGTTATGTGTAGTCTTTGATTTATATGTGTAAGTTACACTGATACACTGACCTTTAATATAAATTCATAGGTTATATATATCTATAAATAAAATATTAAGACTTTCTCAATGCTTTTTTTATCATAAAAATTTTTTATTAGGATATATTCTTTATGGGGGGGATTCATAGTGATAGTTCCAATTAGGCTTATATTGTACACTGGTTAGATTGCTCCCACCAACTCTTCCCCTCAGTCCCCTCCCCAACCCACTTAAAGCAGCTGCAAGAAGTTTCACTGTTTTATTTCATGTGACTATATGAAGTCCATCAACCATAAACCCTCACCTTCATCTTCTTCATTTGCCCTGACTCTCTTAACTCTTAATCCCATTACTCGAGAGCTACGTCTCTGTTTCTTCA